AGACCCGGAAGTGCTTCTGGTCCATTTCCAGGGCTGCTGCTGAGCGTAGCAGGGACCACCCGTGCTCCATCTGCCCCAGCATCTCAGCATTCACGAGCCACCTGGTACTTTGAGGTATGTAGAAAAAAAATATATAAAGCTGCATCTATTTCCAAATTGTCAAGTCTCTCCGAATTGAAATCAGAGGCTTCCGATTACATTTAGAGAGATTAATGGGCCTCCTGATTCTAGGTCGGATTCGGAGATTCAGCCACCGAATTGGGCCCAATCTCCTCCAAATTAAATCAGCGACCAAAGTTTCGCACAGCCCTGTTTATTTTTAAGTGGTAATTGTAGAAGCAGTAATTATATGTAAAATTAACCAATTAAACTAACACAACTAGTTGCTGAAAAGACAACTAGCTACTCACGGCACTTAGCTGTGGCTGGTCAACAGCATTAGAGTTCCTTTAACTACTGAAAGGCATGTAAATTTACAGCTAATAAAAGATTAAACATCCCTATAAAAATAGAACTGAAAGACATGTTGTAGGTCCTGTTAAATACTGGATCTGCCACAAAGGTAGGGAAGCAAAAGCTAACTATTTTTCAAGACATAGCTTGATACATTTAGGAATCAGACTGGTGTCTCACGACGCTTGTCATAATAGAAGACTTGACTCTGCCCCAGAAAAGACCTTCCCATCCTATGTGACTATTAATCTGTCAAAACCCATTTGTTCTATTCTAATGTATTTGATACAACTAGCAAAGCCGCAGACAACAGGTCTAAGAACAAAATATGTTACAGAAAAAATAACTCCCAAGAGGCTGAAAAACCTCTAAGTTTGCCACTGGCTAAATGATCTAAATAGGGGAACATAACTCAAACTTAAAAGCATATTCTGTTAGACCCTTCAGTGCTGTTACCTGTGAGCAAATGCTTGTTTTTGGCAGTAAACCTCTAACTTTGTGTTAGGGGAACTAGTAACAAAGTACTAGGCATCTCGCTTGCTTTGCTTCTGACGACTGGGACTCATTTTCCGCTTAAAAATCACAAATCCTCAGGATTAAAAAAATTTAAAAATAGCAAATTCTGTAATTAAAAACCTCAAAATCCACGTATATAATTTGGAAGCCTACAGTGTCTCAAATCACTATAACCAAAACAATTCTAAATACCTATAGATTTTGGTATTTGATTGTGGGTTTGTTTTGTTTTTTTTAAGTCATGAAAAATCAGAGCACCCCCTGTCCTACTCACTCACCAGGACGCAGGTCCAGGCCCCTCACTCCCCACCGAGGCCCCCTGGCCCTGCTGGTGCCTCTTACTTCCCCCCCATCCTCCCAGCCCTGCCAGAAGGGGCCTCTAGCTGTCAAAGTTACAGGGCCAGAGACCCAGGTCCACAGCCCCCTGTCCCCTACAGCAGCACCTGAGCCCTGGCTGCCATCCCCAGGAGGTGATGGCTGCTGTGGCAGAGTAGAACCCAGCCCGCCCCCTCCATGGGCAGCACAGCTGGAGCAGAGCACATGGGGGGGAGGGGGGCTGCCCGCTGTGCCCTGCTGCCTCCATGGCCCAGCAGGCAAGACCTGGCCCAGCAGGGTAGACAGAGGAGGATCAGGCAGGCTCCTTGCCAGCACAAGCCTTGTGTTCCCCTAGTGAGATGCCCACCCAGCAGGGGCACAACTCTGTGCTGCCACCTCTGCTGCTGCTAGACGGGCAGAGGGTGCCTCACCAGGGCGGTGAAAGGCTCATGGAGGCAGCACTGAGTTTCTCTGCCAAGCCTAGCCCTGCCCTGCCATGCTGGGTCTCACCCACTGGGCTGCAGAGGGTGAAGGGAGGACAGCAAAGCAGGGAGCCCACAGACTCCACTGCCCCCCCACCCACACACAGATCTGGGGGCACATCTCCCCCACCCCAGGAGTGCACACAGCAGCAGGGAGCCAGCTCACTGCTCCTCCCTTCCCTGGACAAGGCCCATTGCACTCCCTGCAAGGGCCCTAAGGCCATACACTCCAGCCCCAGGCCCCAAACCCCACATACCACCCCAGCTGGGTGGCAGCCACGGCCCTAACTCCAGCCCCACCCAACTCCCTCCCTCCCTATGGGGCCTCAATCTCCACCACCCCTAACCAGATTTACCTCTAGGAGCTGCTCTCCTGGCTGCCAGGAGGCCATATACGTGTGTAAGCCTGCACATGGCACCCCCCTGCCTAATCGCCCTCCTACTCCCCCAGCCCTTGGCAGGCTGGAACTCTGCCAGCCTGCAGAGAGAGCTCTTTGCAGAAGTGGAAAGTCTGCTTGTTTCCCTGTTAAACTGAGAAACCCGTGTTTTTCCCCTGTGGCAAATGAGAAACCCAGATCCCTGATGATGAGTAAGTTACTACAAAACAAACCTGACACCTGAGCACATCTTTGTAACTTTCATTGAGATGTAAAGGCTTAGTGCTTATGCTCTCTTAAAAAAGGGGATCTGCATCGTTTTGAAAACTGTACCCATACATTCTTTACTCCAATATATTAGTTTGCTCAGGAAAGCAGTTTTTACAGATTTGTGCAAGACAGCCCAGACATCACATTATTCTTCCACCTAAAACTTCTAAAAGAACTGTTTGCAGTCTTCTAACACTAAAGGAAATATGGACATTTACACTTTCCTACTACCGCACAGTTTTTCAGCAAAAAAAGAAAAATACTTACACTGTACCACTGTTAGAAGAAAATGAACGCAGTTAAGTGACAAAGTACTCTCAAATATTTTTGCATCACAATAACCATTTTGAAGGGATAACATCAAGGACAAGTTGTTCACACACAAGTATTGGCATTAGTCCTTAGCAAGCAGCTTGGACAAGTTGAGAATTACAATAGCTGCTGGCTGCAGAACTTGTGAACTTCCACAAATCTTAACCAGAGAACAACATACCTCTTCAGATTCATTTCCAGGTGTTTGGGAGTCAGGAACTTCCTCCAGTTCCTCTTCAGCTACATAGTCTTCTTGGTCTTCCATTCCCTGCTGTTCATTATATGACTGCATATACTCTTCATCCTACAAAAGAAAGATACAGGATAAAAAATTCAAATGTATAAAGAAGTTAGGCAAGGTACCTGTTTTTATCATTGCCCTTACGCATCATCAGTTTAAGAAAAAGTGTTTTTATCTGTCAAATCAAGCTTAAGCCAGGATATAATGAAAGGATCTTTAAACACCTCTAACAGTTGCAATGTTACTGGAAAAAATATTAAAGTACCTGTAAAACACTGCATAGCAATGCAGGGAACTAAGATAGTGAGATCTAGCTGCCAGTGACGTCCCATTAGTTTGACAGGCTATTAGATTGCAAATTCTTTGGAGGGGGGCTCTGAACTAATTGCTTGTCTATGCTGCTATGAGCACAGAAAGCACTTCACACATTCGCATCTATTCCTAGTTTTCTTTTTTGCTATTTAAAAGAGTTTAAGATAGTATGCCAATTTTCTACAGCAATTTTTGATTTGCATTTGAATCTCGTTTAGTAGCTCTAAACAAGATCATACTGTACTATATGCTGTACAAACATAAATACAGGGAAAAATCTTTTCTGAACAAGAATATTAATATTTTAAAAGGTATTAAGTGCATGCAGCTTAAATTGTGATGATATGATTGCTAGCAATTAAAGCTAGTATATGTCCTTTAATATACCGCTTAAATGATATCAAATTATGCATGTGACATTTTCTGAACTAACCTCCAATCTCTTTATTCAGGGTTAGACAGTTCTCAGTTACAAAAAAGGATGAATGAGCAGGACATCAATCACTTTGGAATATTAGCACCTTAAAGATGTCTTTAGCAGGTCAATAATCTTTTCACCTTCCAAGGACTTTATCAGATCTTGCCTAAAGCCTGGATAAAAGCTTTTGCATTAAGTACTTCTAACAATTGGCAGTGTATCTCCACCACACAAAGCTGTTTTCTTCCTTAAGGATACAATCCTCAAGGTCATGATTCTCAACTGCCTTCCAGCATGACAAAGGAGCGTTACCTACCGCCAAACAAGCTGTCAACACAAACTTTGTCACAGCCTAGATAAAGAAACTGGCAGACAGTGATAATAGGTCTAATTTCCCCACCTCCCTAGGGAGGTAAACAGATTTCAAATCAGTCTAAAAACCTATGCACGTGAAGCAATGTTATCTTTGGACATACAATAGAAAGAAACTCACTTGAAATTCATCTAGAGGTTCATTGATTTCAATGTCTAGTACTTCATCATTGTAAATTTCTTCTTCTCCCTGCTCTTCCACATACTCTATTTGGTCTTCTGTAAGCTCAGCTTCATTGCCTTCATACTGTCCTTCCTCTGCATACTCCTGAGCGTACATCTCACGATCTTCTGATTTGTCATAATCTGTTTCATCCTCCCCTTGGTCATACTCTGACTCATGTTGTATAGATTGATCATTAGTGGTCTCAGATAGTCCATATGATGTAATCAAACCAGTCGTAGCATTAAGACTAATTGTGACACCTTGAGAACTACAGTGGTGATGGAAGGAAGAGGGGAAGAAAAAAAAAGGTTCAAACTAGAAGTCAAGTATATCAGTTACCTCTGTTTGTGAGCATTAGTTCAGTGAAGCCAAAAAAGCACGTTGTCTAGATTAGTAAAGAAAAAATAGCTTGCACACCAATTGACTGCATGCCATAAATTCATAATGCAGACCATACCCCAGCTTATCACCAGCTGCAGGCTATTTGACATGGGGAATCAAACCAACCAGATGGTCTAACAGGTCAGTTTGGCAAAAGTCCTGCATGGTAAACCAAGCAGGCTGGATTCAATTTTTAATTTGCAGACTAACAAAAAATATACAAAATGACTACAACTGCATCTGCTTTCTAATATCTCAAACTAAGCTACACATCCTTTTTATTAGTATATTAATATTAACAGCACACAGTTACTGCGATTTCAATTTTGTATTTGTAGTAGCCTTGATTTTCCATTGAAAATGAAGTGCAATCCATATAGACAGGAACTGTTTTAAAAAGTTGACTCATAAAGGCTTAAAACAATTACTTAATAAACAGCGTACATTTGGACCTTTAAAAAAACAACAATTAATTTGAAAATGACCTAAAGAAAGACTAGAATTTAAGACTGGTTCTTTGCTTTGTAAGAGATGCCATCACAACCAACTACAAAAGCAAATCTCAAGACAGTGACAAATTACAAAAAAAATCAAGAGAAGCCCAAAATATTTGGAAGTGTATATATTTACAATGTGTTAGTACTGGTTTGAAAAAGTAGGGTTTTGGGGAGAGGCAGTTTTAAACCTCTCCCCATGCCACACTACAATTCCAAAAATGATTTTAAAAAGGAGACTTCTTAATATGTGGAGGTGGTATGGAACAGCATCCCGCACTCCTCCCACCTCAGCGTGTAAAGGGCAGCAGTTAAAGCTAAAGCTGCCAATATTTTCAATGGAAATGCCACAAGTTCTCTCTGCCTAGATGCATACTAGCACAGAGCACTAACATGGATGGCATAGCTTTAATGAGCTTGGGCGAGAGTGCCTTGGCATATTCAACTCTTCACTTTTTGTAGCAAATTTCAAGGGTGCATTTTAAACTACACCCCCACCCCCAATTCAAATTTTGCAAACTTTGGGACCACTGCCAAAAGCTCTAAGGACATCAGATGCAATTTGAAAAGTTAAGTGGGGTATTCCAAAGGCCCTGCAAAAGAATGGCTTGTATGGCATGGAAGGAATAGAGAATCAAAGCTTGTAGATATTCATAAACAACATAAACACTTGGGCGACAGTGATCATCACCTGCTGGAATTCACCATGCAGCGCAAGGTGACAAAGGCATGCAGTAAGGCAGCGGCC